CCTTTCTTTTTTTTTTTATAAAAGAAATTCAAATGTTTTTACTAAAGAAAATGTAGTACTAGATATACAACAATGCTCACCTTACATGGGCATGCCTAAAAAAAATAACCCCGCTCCGGATTAGTCAGTTGCCCCAGGTTACCTGATCCAGTTTAGAAGGCCAAGGACTCAGGAAAAGGCGCTGGATACCGGGGGGAATCCCGGGGGGGCCATAGGCCTCAATCTGCCCTAGATCACCAAAAAAAAAGATATACAACAATGCTGGCAAAAAGAAACAAAGAAAAAATAGGGGGAAAAAACAGAAGACAAAGGACTGAGAACTACAATATCTAAACTAAAAAGCAATTTCTCCAAAAGTAGAGCCAGTAATATGGGTTGAGTTCGTGGGCTCAACCCGCCAAGAAGTGGCGGGTTGGGTTGAGAAAAATTGAGACTGTTTTAAAACTGATCTTTTGAGCTCGTAATCGCGGCGGGCTAACCCGCAAGATTGGTGGGTCAGCCCGTTTTACTTTTTTTTTTTTAAAAAAAATTCTTTTTGAATGGAAGGCACCGTGTAAGAGTCATGAGTCATGATTGAGCATTTGACACATTGTGTTTGTGACTTTGTAGTGTTGTACCGTTGTCAATTTGGATTTATGTTTTAATTTGGGTATTTATTAAATCATTTTGGATGGATGGATTATGTAACATGTTTAATATTTTGAGATATTTGAAAGTTTAAACTTTGTATTCTATGTTTTATTTTTTATAATTTCTATATTTGCATGTTTTATTTTAGATATTTAGAAAATTGAGTAAATTTTATTAAAAGAAAAAATTTAAAAAAAAAATTAAAAAATTGGCCCTGGTGAGCTGGGTTGGAAAAATCCCAACCCGTCAGAAGGCAGTCTTAAAAAGATCGAATCGTAGGTATTCAGGCCCGCCACGAGCCAGCCCATAATCGGCGGGTTGGCTCGTATTACCAGCTCTACCCAAAAGTAGGATATCCTACTTTATGATTCCCTCCCATTGAGTCAGCCGTTTGTGCAAAATATTTATAGAAACCGATTGCCAGAAGAGAAGAACGGAAAATTAACAATCCAGTTAAGAGAATACTCCTTCGATCTTTAATATAAGACCCATTTAACTAATTTGATTAGATTAAGGAAGTTAGGTAAGTTTGCTAATTAAAAGAAAAGCGACACATTTTTCTTAAAACATCATAATCATCTTTTTTAATATTCTCTCTCTATTTTCTGTTTGATTATGATTGAGGGAGTATCCATAGAGGTAATTTAAAAAAAATTGATAAATATAAAACATTTCTTCTTTATCTTGCGTATATATCAACAAAAACGCAAGTTGGCAAAAAGGAAAAAAAATGGGCAAACTATTTATTTTTTCACACTCCCCCGAAACTAGATATCGTTATACTGAGATGAGATGGATAGATAATAACTGTAAAAGAACCTTTTCTTTGGGAAATTGTTTTTTGTTTTTCAAGTAACTAAACTGAAATGTGTAAACTGAGATGGATGGATAATAACTTCTATTTAAAACACTTATTTTTTAGAGATGTTTCTTGAAGCATTTTTTTTAAACCTTTTTTTCCTTTTGCAATAATTAAAACTGGGTCTTTCCCTCTAACAATATCAAGAGACTTGTTGTGTCTGTGATTTTACTTTCGAAACTTCATTTATTATGTTAATATATTTTCTTAACTATAAAACAGGGCCTTCACTTAACCATACCAATGAATATGACATATATTGATTAAGTTATTTCTAATAAAAAATGGTTCAATTAAAATGACTGCCTTAATAAACAAGATTTCTTAATTAATTAATTAATTAACGAAAAGCCATGTGGCAGGCTACCAAATCGTAACCCGTATTTGTCTAGGTGACCTTTTCTTTGAGATTACCAATAAAATAGGTTAATACCAAAAAGGTGACTTTCGAGGAATTTTGTTGAAATGACATGAACGAAAATACCCCATGAAAAGTTTGATATCATTACGTTTGAATATCTAGATATTTTAATTTTTAAGGCTGGATTTAAATTTTAATTTCAGATTTAAAACCTCATATTTAAAATTTGACTTTTAAAATTTATATATTAAAAGATTTTTATTTCGATGGCATTAAAAATTTTAAATTTATAACCCATCGCTCGCCCTTCAAATCAGCTGTCCAAAGATCAATTGGTTATTAAAATACAGATCATTAATTTAATCAGTAACATAATAGAATTATAAAGTATAGGGCATCACTATTAATGATTTATGATTACCAATTTAAATATATAATATTTTATAGTTAAACTCCGATATATGTGGGATTCCCAGAGCTGGTACACCAAATATCTATGCGAATGTTATCTCACAAAAATATTATTATATTTTCTCCCATTCTAAAAATATAAAAGTTAATTAAAATGTTCGTTTGGTTTAAAAGAGTGTTTAGATTAATTTTTTAAAAATGATTTTATGAGATATGAGATGTGTTTTGTCTCAACTTGCATAAAAATATTTTTTTAATTACTTTTAAAGGATATCAAACACTCTTTTAAATAAACATATTTTTCTTATCCAACAAGCGCTGTGAGGATGATTTTATTTAGGGTTTATTTAAAATGATTTATAAGTAATTTTTTATTTTGGCAGAATGTATGTAAATAGAGTGAAATGCTGATCCAAACAAGCCCTTAAATTATGAGAGAGTTTGGATACCCCGAATCAATTAAAAAAATACTTTAACACAAGCTGAAATAAATTCTAGAAAAATTGGAATGAGGTTCCACTTAACAGCATTAAACACAAAAAAGTCTATTAAAATTATCAAATTATTCTCAAGTTCTAAAGAATCTCATTGCAAAAAATATTATTTATTTAATTATCAAATTGTCCTTATTTATTTTTTTTAAAATTTGTATGGATAATTGAAATAGCAGTCATTGATAACTTAAAGTGTCATGATAAATAGCTATTATAGCAAGTATTGACAACTCATGAATTATATTTTGTGATAAGGTTTCTTGGGATTTCAGAATAATTTGATGATTTGAAAGAATTTTTTTATATTTCTTTCTTTTAGGTGGGACTATGTTGTAATTTCTTCATAAACTTTCCTCACACATGTATACCACGTGTAACAATGAAATGTAAATTTCCTTCTCTTCATAGTGCTGTTAACTGATCTATAATCACGTTTCATTTACTACGTTGGAAAAGTCCCTTTGGCTCACTTTTGACCAAACCCGCCCGCCTCCGCCCTCCAGGCGCTTCTCTTTTAGAGAGTAAATTTTCCGAATGGAATCTGTTCAGTTGAAGAGTAATCAAATTCTAGAGAAAACAAATAATAAAATTTGGCCCAAAACAATGAAGTCAAATTAATTATTTTAATCTTTTTTTTTCTTTTTCAATTATCTTTCTTCCACATGATAAACGCCATCCGTTAACCGTTTGGTATCCACTTGCGTTGAGCTTTCCAAGGGCACCAGGCGGCAATTATTTATAATTTAATTGCATAATTTACTTTGCTTCGGACGTGCACCGGTATGTTCATCTATTTTGTTAAAGATGCGCTCTTGGCCTTCCTTGATCGGGTTTTATAAAATTTATGTTCATCTCTTTAGTTAAAGATGCGCTCTTGGCTTTACTTGATCGAGTTTTATAAAATTAGGAGGTACTAGTATAATATTATAAAATTGTAATTCTATTGTATAAAACAATATAATTTTTTTTGGTTGAAATATAAAATAATACTCCTCTGGTCTTATTTATAAGGTAAAAAGAGAAGACACTTTTTGGTCATATTTACAGGATATTGAGGTTTACCCTAATTTATTATTGTGTTGACTTTTTTTACATAAAGTATAATATCTATTAGATATAGATAAAATTGAAAAGTTGTTCAATTTTAAATAAGAATTAATAAAATTTAAAGTTTTTTTAATCTGTGTGAAATATATTAAAAGTGATTTATAAATAGAACAAGAAGAGTATTATTAAATATAAATATAATGGCATTTAAAATAGTTTTGTCATGTAAAAGTGCTCTTTCAAGTGCTTTTTGTGCGTACCAAACACCCCTAAATCATATATCAAAATAAGTGAAATCAGACTAGCTGAAAATGTGATGACTCATAAAATATTACTTCCAATTTTTAATATAAGAAAAAATTTATTAATTTGAGTAGAATAAGAAGGTTAAATAGGCTACATTAAATTATCACATTTATCATTTTTTAAACTAATTATCTCAGTTTATAAACTTATATATAATCTAGTGATACCTATAAATACTTTAGAAAAGTCATACTACTTTTAGACTTTAATATAAGAGTTTATTTTACTTTTATTTTGATCCTAAATATAAGACCCTAATTCATTTTGTCTCTCATGTCTATCTATTTTTCTTTAAGATAGTTCTTATAATAATAATAGTTCTAACCGGTATATTGGTTTAGTAGGAATATATTAGGAAAAATAATATATATTTGTTACAAATAACTAACATAAATAATTTCTTTAATCTATTCAAATTAGTCAACTAATTCTTATATTAAGGACCAATATAATATAACATATGCTATATTTAAATAATTTTTTTTAACTTTTTAAAATTAATCAACTAGTTTGTACACGGCAATATCTAATTTCTTAGGAATGAGTTTTAAAAACTTGGAGTCTTTTGTCAAAAAGACTTTTAGATCCAACACTAATAAACTCTAAAAAATTGGACCCAAGGCTTAGACCAGTCAATTAGCCATTTTCTTTTCTTTTCTTTTAATATGCATAACTCTAGAGCTGGTCAATAAAAATCTCAAAGGACGGAACGGACAAATAAAATGAAATAACGGAAAGGGGAACGCACCTCTGAATCCAACGATTGATAGAAAGGTACAGAGCATGGGTGGGCCCCACAGGGGAGTGTGCGGTGAGATGTACGCCGCACGCACCGGCCAGCCCAGCCCGCCCACTCCTTCCTCAATGAGCCAATAAAAACCTACTTTCCTCCTTTCAAAGCTCGCCCCCCTCCTCCATACCTTTCGCCTCCCTCCTTGCCTCTCCAAGGATCTCGCTCATCCTCTAATCTTCTTCGCTTCGTTTCGTGTGCTCTCTCGCAGGTATACATAACTCAATCACTCTCATTTGTCTCCCTTTTTTTCCCCAGATCTGCGATCTAACTCGCACCCTTATTTCAGATCTGTTGTTGTGTAATGGTTCAAGTTTTAAGGTTCAATTTCTGTTCTCGTTCTGGTTTTTTGATGCCATCTGCTGGTTTATCTCGCTTTTTATCTTTTAGATCCCTCATCTCGCCTTCATGTTCTGATTATTTTCTTTTCTTGTTTGAATCCGGGAATTTTGGATCTTTCTTAGTTTCCATTGCCTGTGGTTACTTTGTTTTCTCGCTGTCCGATCTGGATCGGCTTGAGTTTTAAGCTATATCTTGACCGTAGCTCTGGGATAGTGAAAAAGTTTGTTCCTTTTCACTTTTTATTGGACCTTTCAAACGTTTGTTTGATATGAAGTATATCATAAGAAGTTGGATCGCCGATTTTTAAATGAGAATCTGCATGATTTATTAGATATTGGTGGCCTTTAGATATTTGAGCCTTATTTTGCTTTTATCTCCAGTTTGCCTGCTGTTTATGTTTCTAGTTAACTGATTTGTCCCTAATTTGCGGTCTGCCTCCATATGCTTTCATCGCATTGGTTATTTGGTCCTCGTTTTTTCCTGAATAATTTGTTTGCGACCATCATGTTCATGTCTATTATCTAAATAGATAATGGATAATAACGCTTTAAGAAGTTCATGCGTGTTATCTGTCTTAATGATTCTTCTATCTGACCCTGTCGCTGCCTCCCTGTTTTGGGGATAAGTAGATGTGATAGCCTTCATTACAGACTCCTGGTATTGTATTCCAGTTTGAGTTATTGAGTTGTTACCTGACATCTTTATTATCTATGACCTCAATAAGCATCCATGCAGTGTGAGAGTATTTCTATTGTTTATGCTCTTTAATTATATTTGCTAATTGTTTTAAATATCCCCATGCCACATCTTTTTTTCTGATTCCAACATACATTTTGCCCGCTTGGTTGATTGAATCTATGCAGTTTTGTTCCTCATGAGCTCCCATGAACTAACATGGAAGTTGTGACGTTATAATAGTGCAGGTCTATGTTTGTTTTGGGTTTTTTTCCCATCCTTTTACCTCTATCTTTGTGTTAGCGTGTAGAACTCTGACTTTTGGATTTATCAGATTGTTTGTCATTTTTTTAGTTGTTATGAATATTTGAATTGAATGGACTACCATTCAAAGATTTGTTGAGAAGATTATTGGTTGTCTGTATTCTTTAGGGAAGTCTATGCATGTTGATTCTTACAACCAAAGACTATTGTAATAACATTTGATATTGGCTTCTTCTATTCTTCAGGGAAGCCACCATGGTTGAGCAGGTCCAGCACCCAACAGTTGTTGAGAAGGTTGCAAGCCAGCTCCATCTCCGATATGGTCTCTCACCTAATATGCAGAGTTATGATGGCAGTTTCCATGGGCCTGCTGTTTACCAGAGGCGCTCATTCGGAAACTACTCAAATGCTGCATTGCAATATCCCGTGATCCCTGCATGCAGAGCTACTACTGATCTCTCCTCTGTTGCAACAACTGCTTCCCCTATCTTTGTGGCAGCTCCAGCGGAGAAAGGCAACTTTCTTATTGACTTTCTCATGGGTGGTGTTTCAGCAGCTGTATCCAAAACTGCTGCTGCCCCCATTGAGCGTGTTAAGCTTTTGATCCAGAACCAGGATGAGATGATCAAATCTGGTAGGCTTTCTGAGCCCTACAAGGGTATTGGTGACTGCTTTAAGAGAACGATGAAGGATGAAGGTTTGGTTTCCTTATGGAGAGGTAACACTGCCAATGTCATCCGTTATTTCCCCACTCAGGTTAGTCTGCCAGTAGCCCTTGATTGTTTCTCCCAGTTCATTTTGGTTTAATGAGAACGATACTAATGTTGCAACTGAACCAAAATTGCAGGCTTTGAACTTTGCTTTCAAGGACTACTTCAAGAGGCTCTTCAACTTCAAGAAGGACAGGGATGGGTACTGGAAATGGTTTGCTGGAAACTTGGGCTCTGGAGGTGCTGCTGGTGCTTCATCTCTTCTGTTCGTTTACTCCCTTGACTATGCTCGTACCCGTTTGGCTAATGATGCAAAGGCTGCAAAGAAGGGTGGAGAAAGGCAATTCAATGGACTTGTTGATGTCTACAGGAAGACATTGGCATCTGATGGTGTTGCTGGGCTTTACCGTGGTTTCAACATCTCATGTGTTGGAATCATCGTCTACCGTGGTCTCTACTTTGGAATGTATGATTCCCTGAAGCCAGTTCTCCTCACTGGAAAATTGCAGGTTATTTCTGAATCCTTTTTCATCACATTACTTTGCCACACTTCTCAAGTCTCGTACGTTGGGCTCAAGTTTGTCAAAAATCACCTTAATCCTGGCAGTTTGACAAGCTTACATGACTATTCAAAGCGTACCAGATCTTTCTTTTCTGTACTCATAAATACCTAACAAGCTTTGGTCGATTTCCTTCTTTGATGATGATTGCAGGATAGCTTCTTTGCTAGCTTTGCCCTCGGATGGCTCATCACCAATGGTGCAGGTTTGGCATCATACCCAATTGACACAGTTAGAAGAAGAATGATGATGACCTCCGGAGAAGCTGTCAAGTACAAGAGCTCCTTGGATGCATTCTCTCAAATCCTCAAGAACGAGGGTGCCAAATCACTGTTCAAGGGAGCTGGTGCAAACATCCTCCGTGCCGTTGCTGGTGCTGGTGTGCTCGCTGGGTACGACAAGTTGCAGGTGATAGTTTTCGGAAAGAAGTATGGTTCTGGTGGTGCTTAAGTTCCTCAATGCAGTCATGCTTCTTTTAGTTTTAGATGGTGATGAAAATGGTTGAGCTCTCAGAGAATTGTTGACTAATTGCTGCGGCAAATTTTGGTTAATAATTTCATTCAATGGGAGATGAATCCCAGAACATAAGTTACAATTTTGGATCAAAATTTCTGGTCCTATAAACATGATGATTTATTTGGGTGGCAGGAAAGTTAACTGGCACTCGGAGTTTCCCTTTAGATGTTTCTACACACCTTGTTCTAGAAGATTAAATCTCTTATCATTCGTAGAATAAAATGCTGCTGAGCCTTTTGATTTATGTGGTGAAGTTAGTATGGTTTCGTTGCTGATTTAATTTTTGTTCTTTCGTTGAGTTTGTATTCTTTTCATTTATGATGGGAAGATATTTATATTGGGTAAATTTTTATTCATCATGTGATTGAAATAATATTATTTTTCATCGTAGAAAATAATTTTATTTTTAATACATGCATATTTGAAATGATCATTACTCATCTCTTTGAATGAAAGGAAAGCATGAGAGTATTGGGTGTTTTTCTGGGAAGGAGTTTTAGGGGTACTGTTTAAAATGCTGCAAATAACTTCATGAACATACAATAAAAAATTATCGTGAGTAATTGAGATCAAATATGAAGACGCTTCAAGCCTTCACTTCTAAATTTTTGAGGCGGGAGAATCATTCAATTAATTTGTGCATGTTAAGTTCCGATTATAAGATATGTTGTCGTTTTCATGTTTTATATTTAATGAGTAACTAAATATGAGAGAAGACACTTTCCTATTATTTTAAGATTCCAAATCATTTAATAGAACATAGATATTCTAGATACCCATTATGAATCGCCCGCCAAAGTCTTTTTGTTTTTAAATGAGTTACTATATATTTTTATTTTTAAATTTGTTTTTATTCTGGTTTTGGTTTCTTAAATCCTAAATAATATGTTTTGAAATCTTAAGTTTTTTTTAATTTAAAATATTAGTCTCCATAATCTAATAAAAAATTAGATCATTTTATTTTTTGAAGAACCAAAACTTGTGCTTTAAAACTTGAATGATTAAAATCAAAATGAATTGTATTAACCTTTTTAAAATCTGATATTCTAAATCTTACGTTTAAACGACTTCAACAACTACAATGCAAGGGGAAAAAATACATGCTCATCGACTTGATAAGATCATAACTGAAATCTCATATAGGAAAAAAATTCAAAATTTTGTCAATGTGAGAATTTTATTAATGTGTAATTTGAAAATAATTTTATAAATGTTTTTTGAACAGTATATTTGGTGGGGCTTATGCAACTCACTTGAGATTTTTATTTTTAACTTTTTTCCCCTCCTGTTTTCTTTTTTTGGGCTTGAAAATACTAGCTTGTAGGTTGAGTAAATAATAATGGGAGAATTACAATGAGGTCATAAGTAAGAAAAATAATTAAAAAATAAGTCCTAGAAGTTGTCATTTTCATTATAGGATTTGTCATTATAGGCTGTTGAAGTTGTTATTAAATTTTTTTGGTAATTATCTCTCTTCTGGGAAATTTGATTGTAATTCCCCTAATAAAAATAGAATCCAAGATATACTATGGAAAACTTACTTGACTAAAGGAGACCTTCCAAATATTAAAATGCTTAAAGGCTCTGTCCCCGATAGTCATTGTATTGGAAAATTTCCTGGATATATTATTCTAGTTATATAGGGTGCCCGATAGGGATCTCAATTCTTAAAGATATTATTTAATAATTTGTTGTTATATTGCAATGTACTTGATTTAAGTTAAGTAAATCACATCTTATCATCTACATCATTAGAATATTTTTTTTTAGTTTTAAAGTTATATTGGGTTAGAATTTCTTTTTCTATTTAAAGACCAAGATGCATTCAACTATTTCAAGGTTAAACATGACATCTAATTTCTTTTTGAGTTTCATACTTATTGCTTTTGTGTTTGTAATAGAATATTTATACTTAATGTCTTTTGACTGATTTTTTTTTGTGACAAGTTTTTTTTAAGTCTTTTATTTTCACCTATCGCGTATTTCTAAGGATATCTAAATAAGTTATTATAATAATCAGAAACTTGACTAAAAGATCATAAATTTAACATTTTTTTTAATGAAAAAAAGCTCTCAATAAGAATCATTAAATGGAATATAACTTTAATCATGTTGACGTCCAGATGCAACTATTCCCTGCCGCTTAACTGTTGCTTGATTTTTGACCACTTTTTTCAATATTTTATTATTGAATCATATTGTGTGGTCTCTTTCATCCTACTTGTTCTGAGCCAAAAACACAAACAACACTTGGACTAGCTGGTCAAAAAAAAAAAACAACACTTGGACTAAGGAAAGGAAAGATCAATTCCTTGCTTGCAATTAAGGCCAACCTTGTTTTGTATGGTCCCATGAATCTCTTCCCCACTTTCAATCACACCTTTTCCACATCAGATTAAGCTTTTGTTCATGTCCCCATGTGACCAATCCCACTTTTCCCCATTAACTAACATTACCCACATGGAGAAACCGGCCAATCTAGAGATTGTCTTCACTGGACAAAAATGGCCCTCCTTAATCCATGTTTGTGTACTGGATTGACAATAACAGACAGGGGCATTCCTGTCTACTGAATTGTTTCTCACTAGAGATACCAGTCTTTGTTTCAATTTTTTGGTCAAATTTTACTGATCCTTAAATATAATTTTAAAGGTTTGCTCCTTGAAATGATATCTAGACTGTTTTTAATATTTTTGAAATGGCGAATTGAAATTGAAGCTCACTGAAGTTGTGGGTAGTTTAACCATTATATTAAAAATAGCTCAGAAAACAATGAACAAAAACAACTTTTTTAAATATCAAACTTAAATTATCACATTGATTTGTTTATTGGTCACTCATATATACATATATATATATATATATATATATCAATTGGGCATATTTTTGGTCTAAGGCACGAATTTTAGATGTTTACAAATAAAGAAGGGAGTGACCCAATATAATAATAATAAACATACACAAGTTTTTTCTCTATTTTTGGGAAAATTGCTGAAATTTTTTTCATCATAATAAAATTTATTGCTGAAAGCTACAAATTTCCAGTACTGTCAGATAATAAATTCAGCAGGGGAAAATTTTTCTGCAATTTTATACTTATTTTCTCTTTTCCTTGTATCTTTCTCTCTGCTTTCTCTTTATCATGTAACAGCAACATTTGATGCCAACGAACTAGCGAGTAGTTCACTACTTCACCCGGACAGCAATCGTTTCCTTTGTTAATTTTCTGTTTACGTGTGTGTGGTTGTATATATATAAAATAATAAGGATAATATAATTTTTGATATCTTAAGTTTATTTTTATTTTAGTTTTAGCCCTTCAAGTTTTTTTCAATTTAAAACATTAATCCCCATAATTCAATAAAAACTTGAATCATTTTGTTTTTTTGAGAGATTAAAACCTATGATTTAAAACTTGACAAATCAAAACAAAAATGAAAACAGATTTAAAGAATCAAATATTATATTAACTCAAAAAAAATATATGTTGCATGGCTATGAATGATACCTTATTATTCAAAAAAGAAGGGAAAAAAGAAACCAGACTGACATAAAATAACATTAAAGTGAGCAAAGTCATGGCGTTCTTGTGAGATTTAAAATTAAACATAGGGCAGCTTTTTGCGGATTTCAAAGTGAAACACATTAAATGATATGTTGTGATGGAAATATGTTGGTCACCTACTCGCTCCTATCTTCTATTTCCCCTCCGTAAACCCCAACCTCCTTGACAATATTCAACCACCAACTATTTATCATATATTTCTTCCTCATTCATTTTAGGAAAAATCCTACAAAAGTGATTGTTGAATTTCAAAATCACAAATCAGTATTGGTTACTACACTTATAAAGAAAATGACTACACTTACAAAGCAAATAACAACATATTTTTATAGTAATTCCTGATTTGTCATTTTGAAATTCAACAGTCACTTTTTTGGGATTTTCTCTTCATTTTATCTTAAAATTAAAAATTATACATATTTGCTATAAGGAAATATAAAGAAATAGTTTAGTGGGTTGGTCCGACTAATTTATATTAGGATATTATCGAGCCTAAATAACAATTAGCTCTCTTAGGGTATGTTTGGATCAATGAGAGGAAGGGGAGGGGAGGGATTTTAATGGAAGGAAGGAGAGGAGAGGGGAGTGGAAGGATTTTAATATTATCTTGTTTGGATTTATAAAAAAAAAGGGGAGGAGAGGGAAAAATATTTTAATATGGATAGTTTTGCTCTTATTTTATTTAAGGTGTGGGCATAATGGTCACAACATGACAAAATATAGACATAATGGTCACAACATGACAAAATATGGGCATAATAGTTATAATATGACAAAATATTACCATTTCCCTCCAAATCCTTCCAATTTTGGAAGGGAGGTTGAGGAGGGGAGGGGAGGGGAAATTTTAAAAAATTTTCCCTTCCCTCCTAAAATTTGTGTGTTGCCAAACAAGGAAAAATGATTAAAATCCCTCCCATCCCTCCCAAATCCCTCGTACCAAACATACCCTTAAAGTGTTTCTATGTCCTCCTTTCAATGAAATTAATCTCCCTTGACTTTGATTAAGAATTGTCGATTCTTTACATTCAACAACCGTGAGTAGTAAAACTATTTAGTCCTTCAGATATTCAATAACAGTGCGAGTTTGATTTTTTTTTTTTTGGTGAAGTTTGAGTTTTTCAGCATTTTTTACGCCCAATTGCTAAAGTGTGAGTTTGAATCTTATTATTAATAGAACGAGTTGATGAGTAATTAACAAATATTTTTATAAGTAAGCATTTTTTATATAGGGGCTGCTCTAAACTACTACTTCTAGTTTTTAATATACAAGCTTGTTTAATTTTTATTTGGATAATCAATATAAGACTCTGATCCTTTTTATCTTTCATATTTATTCATTTTTTTTCAAGATGATCATCGTAATAATAGTAGTTCTAACCAATATATTTGATTAATAAGAATATTTTAGGAAAAAAATATCTATTTATTACAAATAACTAACTTAACTAGTTTTCTTAATCTATTCAAATGAGTCAACTAGCTCTTATATTAACGATGAGAGGTAGTATAAGAGTTAGATAATTAATTTAGGAATATTTAAAAAAATTAGTTAGGTTAATTATTTGTCATAAATATATATTGATCTCCTTAACTTATTCTCTCCAATCATATATATTGGATGATTGGAATTATCTTTTGGTGGCCATTCTTTATAATTAATAGGGATATTTTTAAAA